TGGCTCAGTGGTTGAGCATCAACCCATGAACCAGGAGGTCATGGTTCAATTCCCGATCAGGGCACATGCCTAGGTTGTGGGCGAGATCCTCAGTAAGGGATATGCAGAAGGCAGCCAATCAATGATTCTCTCTCATCACTGATGTTTCTCTCTCTCTCTTCCACTCTGAAATCAGAAACAATTAAATAAACAAACACTGGAGAACCAAGATGGCAGTGTAGGCATATGCCTGTACTCGCTGCCTCCCACAACCACATCAAAATTACAACTAAAATACAGGACTGTCATTTAGAACCACCAGAAAACTGGCTGAATGTGGATCCTACCACTAGAGAAGTAAAGAAAAAGGACAGTGAGACTGGTAGGAGGTGCGGAGGTGCAGAACGGGCTGGTCCAGCACTCACATGTGCCGGTTTTTTAACCGGGAGGGAGATCACCTTTGTGGAGGCCGCTTGGTGGAGCAAGGGGGCCCAGAGCTGGGAAAAGAAGTCCCTCCGGCAGTAAAATCTACAGACTGTAGAAACCAGTGTGGATTGGGACTCAGTGACACACAGGCTGCTGGAGACTCAGCTGCTCCTCTTAAAAGGCCGGCACCACAAACTGAACTTATAAGCTCCTGCTTCCTCTGAGCTCTAGTGGTGGGTGAGGCTCTGGGGGACCCAGACACATACGGGGAGAAACTAGACTGTCTGGCATCAGGGCAGGAACTCGGGGCAGCTTTCTTCCAGAGGTGCTTGCAGTGGTCATTGTTCCTGTGCTGGGACCTCCCCCGTGCAGGGCTGACTGGCAGCCATTGCTGTTTGCTCCACCCTGGTGATTCCTTGAGACCCCACCCCACTCAATTTACAACCCCACCCAAGCTGTGCACAGCGGCTTTTGCATATGAATGGCTTGTCCTTTCTCAGGCTAAACACCTGCAGCTGGGTCAAACAAGCTGCAGCTGGGTCAGGGAGCCCCAAACCTATCAAGCTGCAGCTGGGTCAGGGAGCCCCAAGACCTGGCACCAGCACCAGCCTGCCTTGCTTCACAGCTGGGCCTCATCTGGGCACTTCCAAACCCAATACAAAGAGGAGGAATCTGCAGATCTCTCTGTAGCTCCTGCTGGGTGGCCTCAAGCAGTGGCTGATTTTGCACCTCCCTGGACACCCAAGAGCCACTGTACCCAGTGGTCAGTGTGAGACCATACCAGATTACAACTCTTCACATCCATAAGCGACACATTCAAGGGGCAGACTCAGTGAGCACCAAAGCCCCACTGAAGGAAGACCTGCTCCATAGGGTGTCTCCTGCACAGCAGCTCCCCAACTATAGTCGCAGCTGGTCTCCACAGCCAATTGGCCTGGAGGTCAATTCCTCCCAGTGACAACAATAGCAATCAAGGCTCAACTACAACAAGATTGTGCACACAGCCCACAAATTATAGCTAATTTGCCTACAAACGTCAGGTGGTCATAATAATCTGGCCACTCAGTCTGTGTGTCTGTGTGTGTGTGTGTGTGTAAACACACACACTTTTTTTTTAAGTTAAAAATACAGCTGCCACACAATCCAATAATTCTACTTGGAGGTATTTATCCAAAGGGGAAAAAAAACCCACTAATTTGAAAAGACATATGCATCCCTCTGTTCACTGCAGCATTATTTACAAGAGCTAAGATATGGAAGCAACCTAAGTGCCTACTGATAGAAATTAGATGAAGAGGTAGTACAGCTCATAGCAGCACCATTTATAATGGCTAAGATCAAAAGATGAGTGGATAAAAAAGCTGTGGTACGCCTGGCTCAGTGTGGTGTGGTGGCTCAGTGGCTGAGCATCAACCCATGAACCCAGAGGTCATGGTTTGATTCTGTGGTCAGGACACATACCCAGGCTGCAGGCTCAATCCCCAATGGGGGTGTGCAAGAGGCAGCCCATCCATGATGCTCTGTCATCGGATGTTTCTGTCTCTCTCTTCCTCTCCCTTCCTCTCTGAAATCAATTTTTAAAAAAAGGCTGTGGTACATTTACACCATGGAATACTATGCAGCAGTAAAAAGGAAGGATCTCTTACCCTTTGAGACAGCACGGAGGGGCCTAGAGAGAATTATGCTAAGTGAAATAAGCAGTCAGAAAAAAATCAAGTGTCAATGATCTCACTCATATGTGGAATCTAACGAACAAAATAAACTGTTGAACAAAACTGAGACATAGAAGCATGGAACAGGCTATGTCCACCTCAGAGGGGAGGTGGGGGAGGGGGGTCAACCAAAGAACTTGTATGCATATATGCATAACCCATGGGCATGGACAATAGGGTGCTGAAGGCCTGAGGCGGGGCTGGGGCAGGCTATAAGGCAGCGGTTCTCAACCTGTGGGTCACGACCCCTTTGGCGGTTGAACGACCCTTTCACAGGGGTCGCCTAAGACCATCCTGCATATCAGATATTTACATTACGATTCATAACAGTAGCAACATTACAGTTATGAAGTAGCAACAAAAATAATTTTATGGTTGGGTCACCACATGAGGAACTGTATTTAAAGGGCCAGAAGGTTGAGAACCATTGCAGTAAGTGGTCAATGGTGGGAGGAAAGAGGACAAAAAAAGAGGTGGTACAAGGAACGGGGTTGCCCAAGTTTTATGGCGACTACTGCAATACCTACCTCACCCATGACTCTCCGTCTGTGAGAGACATACTGCAGTGGTAGGAGACACAAGGAGAGTGCGAAAGACCACTATCAGCAATGAATGCAAGAGCATGACAGACAAAACAACTGCCGCATTCCAGCAAGGACGGACACCTCCTACTCCATTCTCTGCTCCTCGTCCTGCAGGGGCAAGGATCCCACCTCCCCCAAGTCTTCCAGGTCCTCGCCCTGGTATAATGCCAGCACCCCCTATGGGGCCCTCCACCTTCTGGAATGATGACAGTGGGACCTGCTCCTGGAATGAGGCCGCCTATGGGAGGGCATATGCCAATGATGCCTGGGCCCCAAATGATGAGACCTCTCGCCCGTCCCATGATGGTGCCCGCGCATCCAGGGATGCCTCTACCAGACAGATAAGGAGAGAGGGGGCCTCTTTCTATCAGTTTCTTGTTCTGTTTCACCAAGAGATCGTGGTGCTGTAACTGGGTGTTTTCTAACAGCAAGACCAGGAAGATTCACTCCCTCTTCCTATCAAAAGAATAGCTTTGGAGGGGAGTAGTGGGACAATAAAACGCAATTTTCATGTGTATTGTGACATATGAAGATAAAATTGGAATATTACTCAGCCATAAAAAGAATGAAATCTTACCATCTGCGACAACATGGATGGACCTCTAGGGTATTACGCTAAGTGAAAGAAGTCAGAATGACAACGACAAATGCCGTCTGACTTCACTCCTATGCAGAATCTTAAAAAACAAATGCGTAACAAAACAGATTCATCAGTGCAGAGTACAAGCTGGTGGTTGCCAAAGAGGGAGGTGGGATGGGAATAAAAAAAGAAAAAGAAATGCTCTCCCCCTTTCTATACCTCATCCTGATTTCACAGGTAAAAAGGGGAGAATTCAGTTTCTTTACCAAGTGAACACATGCTCATCCACCTGACATTACTCTCACTGCGGTGTCTGGCTGAGCTAGATGCTCTCGGAAGGAACTAATACACGGAATTTGTAGGTTCCAGAATGTTGCTGCTATTGTATTGACTTCCTGTTTTCCAGGAAGTCGAGTCTCTGATTGAAATATATTTGGGTCAATGATTGAGAAGTTAAGACCAGCTGCTAATAAAGTCGGACTACCCCTAATTGTCGGGTAACGGTTTCATCTCTTCTATGAAATTAAATTGTCTTAGTGAGCAGTAGCAGGTTTCGCCCTCCCTGTAACGTCTACGCATCTGGTGAAGTAGGTGGGCCCAAGTACCACTGCTGGATGGCATCTGGGAAAGGCATTTTCCTTCTGCCTCAAAGAAAACACCAACCCATCATATTGCACACTTAACGCCAATAATGCAATTTACAGAACCATCACCTTTCAAAATCACATCAAATGTTATCCATACTAATAGATATTTAAACTGTAAAGCGTATTCTCTCTGACACCACTTAAAATGTACTTCAATTTAAAAAAAAAAATTTTTTTTAATCCTCACCTGAGGATTTTTCCCCCCATTGACTTTTAGAGAGAGTGGAAGGGAAGGGGAGAGACAGAGAAACAACGAAGTGAGAGAGACATCAACTGGTTGCCGCCCTTGACCGGAATCAAACCCGCGACCATCAGGCCGCGGCCGAGGCTCTAACCATTGGGCGATCGGGTAGGGATCTTTTTCTTTTTTTCTTTCTTCCTTTAAAGCACTGGCATGAAGTGCAAGGCACAGAACTCACGAAGAGAAGCAATCTTCAGAACACTGAGCTCTATTCGATACAGTAAGGCCGAGAGTGAAGAAAGAGAAGTTACAGCCTTCAGCTGGCAGGCTTACGCTGCAGCTTTTCCCTAAAATGCAATGCGGGGGTGAGCGGTCCCTGTAAGCAATGGCAGCTAGACTCTGGTCATGCATTCAAGCCCAATTGCACAGGAGTCCTTTCTGGCAGGTACATTCTTTCTCCGGGTTAACACGAGGTTAAGACCCACACACACTTAAAAACAAAGTACCACTGGCAGGTGCAGACAGGCTCCACTCCTAACCTCCCGCGGCACTGCCTGCCCGTGGTTTTCTGCAGGTCTTTCTAGCGGGCTCTCCACTAGGCCAGCGTTCCCCAACTCCCGAGGCGCCGGGGGTTCTCCCGCGCTCCACTCCCGCGCGGCCGGCACCGTACACGTGCCGCCGCCACCCCCTACGCCTGCGCGGTGGGATGAGCTGGGGGCTGGGATGAGCTCGGAGCGCGTCTCCCAGCGACTCCCTGCGCAGCCCGCGGCCCCGGAATCTACGCGAGACCTCAGCTCCCAACCTAACGGCGGGCTTGTGGGAGTCGTGGTCCGGCCCGTCGCCCCGCCCCCAGCACTCCCGGACTCCATTTCCCGTGGACCCACGCGCCTCCGACTTCCGGCGCAGGTACGGGTCGGCGCACGCGGCCGCGAGCCGGTTGACTTTGCGGAGCCATGGATGGCTTCAGCTCGGACTTCGGCGGCTCCGGCGGCGGCAAGCTGGACCCCGGGCTCATCATGGAGCAGGTGAAGGTGCAAATCGCCGTGGCCAACGCGCAGGAGCTGCTGCAGGTCCGGGGCCGGGCTGGGGACGGGAGGCGAGGGCCGCGGGGGCCGCCAGGAGACGGGCGTAGCGGCTGAGGGTTCGCATGTCCCCACAGAGGATGACGGACAAGTGCTTCCGGAAGTGCATCGGGAAGCCGGGGGGCTCTCTGGACAATTCGGAGCAGGTGAGACCCTTGGGGCTTGGGCTCGGACTGGCGAGGGGCCTCTGCGCGTGCGCGAATTAAGGGGGCGGCCCGGTGGGACCGCTGCGCGTGCGCAGTCCGCTGCCCCGGGAGAGGGCGCGGGTCAGGGAAACCCTGAGCTGATCCCTGCGCTTTCCTCGCCTCCAGAAATGCATCGCCATGTGCATGGACCGCTACATGGACGCCTGGAACACCGTATCCCGCGCCTACAACTCGCGGCTGCAGCGAGAACGAGCCAACATGTGATCGGGAAATGCGGTGCCTGGCCGAGCCAGTGGGCCGCCCCCACCCGTGTTCGGTTTCCATAAATGTGCTTTGTGAGGCAGGGGCCAGCGTGTGCGTGCTGCCTGCCGTGGTTTATGAGGATGAGACTGGTGCTGGGACACTTGGAATTTTGTCCCCCTCCCCCTGGCCAGGCCGACCTCCCACCTGCCAGCGAGTGTAGCTGGGGACTTGGGGACCCTGGAATTTCCCACAGTGCTGGCAGCGCTGTGGCACCTTTCCTGGTGTGCCCGGGTCACCTTTATGCCCGAGCCGTAGACTTCCTGTGGGCCTGCGGGGTGGGGAGATGGTCAGACCCCACCTGAGCTGTGACCGCCTGGGGGTGGGCTGACAAATAAATGGATGAGGGAGGGGTGGAGAGAGTCTTGTGTGTCTTCCCTGGAGGAGGCCTGTGTCTGGGGTACCTGGGTCCCCCTGCCCAGACTGAGCCTCAGGCTCTGCCCCCCCCCCACTCCATTTCTCCCCTGGGCGCTTGCTACTGGTTCCCTGGATGACACCAAAGGAACCCTGAAGATGAGGCTGAACCCCAGCCCCAAAGGCTGGGGTTGTGGCAGCCGTCTTCCTGGGAGGTCTTGCTACCTCACCCCACCCACCTTTCATCCCAACTTTAGGTCCTGGGTCATGGGCAGGCAAGTAGTTCTTGCTGTGATGTGCAAGTGTGTGAGTCAGGAAGTTAGGGACAAGGGGCTTTTTATTGGAACAAAAGATACAGTAAAACTGTACTCCCACTGCCCGCAGCACTCCCCGCCCACTGTCTGGACTGGACTCCCCCTTCTCGGACTGGTGGCTGGTTGGTTCCTACTGCCTTGTCCTCCCAGGCCTGGACAGCCATGGGGGGGTCACTCCTGGATGTTCTGTGTGATCCAGCCTCGTACAGCAGCCACCCGGGTATAGACACCTGGGAAGTGAGGTCGCCCGCAGCCATAGCCCCAACTGGTGACCCCAGTTAGCACCCACTGGCCAGAGGGTTCCCTGCAGGCCAGAGGTCCCCCAGCATCACCCTGAGGGGAGGAGAGAGGAAAGGCACTCAGAGCTGGCCAGTTTCCCCCACCTCCCATAGCAACCCTCAGGCAAGAGAGGTCTGACCTGACCTGCACACCTTGGGTGGCTGGCCTCCACAGGAGTCTCCTGGGCTCCCCATGTGACCCCAAGTGAGTAGCCCTGTGAGCCTCACTTTTACTATCTGGGAAATGGGCTTAATGCCAGGACAAGCCATTCATCTGTCTGGCAGACATTTGTGAGCACCTGCCACAGGTTCCCTAGTAGAACGGCCTTACACTGCATGCAGCCGGTTCCCATTCCTCGCCTGCAGGGCGGCGGTGAGGATGTGGGGTGGGAACTGGCTCGTCGTGGATGCCCAATAAACAGTGGTCCATTAAACATCTAAGGGTGAAACGGTTCCCTGCTTGATCAGCTTAAGTTTGCACCAAAGAGTGGGTCCTGGCTGTGGGCTTTAGAGCAACCGGAACGGGCTCTCCCGGACGGATGGGGCCCTTCCCCCGGCAGAACACCCGTTTCAGTGTTAAATCGTGCTCACCGAACAGCTGTCCACGCCACCCTGCGGGAAGCCGGCACACAGCATGCGGCTGCTGATCTGCACCGGGTAGTAGCGGCGGCAGGCCTGCTCGCTGAGGAGGCGCACAGCCGCCTTCTGCAGCTGCCGTGCCATGGAGCCTGTGGCGAGACGGGCGGTAGGCAGGGAGGGACCAGGCTGGAGGCCTTCCTGATGCCCCCCGAGGGTGCGGGGCCGGGCTCCGAGTGTCGGACTCGCCTACCTCCTTCTCGCACGGAGCCCCAGCCGGTGATGACGCAGCGTGCCCCATTGGGGGGCCGGGGTGCAGGCTCCGGCAGGCAGATGGGCCGCACCAGGCGGCTCCGGTGCACGGGCCCTGCCAGCTCCAGCAGCGCCACGTCGTAGTCGAGCGTGTAGAGGTTGTAGAAGGGGTGCTTGTAGATGCGGGCCACGCGCTCCAGCTGCCCCTCGGCGCCACTCAGGAACGGCGTGCCCAGAAAGGCCACCCACTGCTTGGGATCCCCATAGCTGTGGGGTGCGTGGGGACAGGTGTTCTGGGTCCCCGCACCCCAGTTACCCCTGCCTGTGGCTCCTCTGGGCTCTGCCCCACAGGGCTGTGGCCTTGTCCTTGCCTGGGCCCCAGGGGGTGGTCAGGGACCTTTGGCAGGGCACTCAGCCTCTGGGCCCTGGGTTGCTCGTGGATATGGGGATGAGTCATCCCTCCTGGGACAGTGGGGGGGCCTTGCCTGAAATGCACCCACAGCAATGAGGTGACATCACATTACCCATTTCTGCCCAATATTAGGGCTCTGGTGGCCAGAGAGCCCCCTGTCCCACCTGCCCATTCCCTCTGACCCTGTCCTACAGCGAGTGTGCAGAGTGTGCCTCCAAGAACTGGCTTTCTCCAAGGAGGGCAGGGCCCCTGGCCTGTTCCACCCTGAGCAGCCTGCCCTGAAGGGGACTCCCCAGTGTGTGGCCTTTGGAGAACGGAGATGTCTGTTACCCAGAGACCCCATGTACCACCGAGCTGGGCCCTGGACTCGAAGAGGCTGCAGCCCTAGGGTTTGGAGCGGGAGGTGTGTGGCAGGGTGTGTGTGTAGGATTGAATCCCTGCAGCCCCAGGTGGTGAGTGTGCAGGGGTGGGCTGCACGGACTAGGGGCAGCAGGGGGTCCCAGTGGCGGAGGTGGGAGGCATTAAGAGCAAAAGGCGTGAGGACATGACGGTGAGTTTTGGGGCCACGGGTCATTTCCCGTGAACCACCAATGGGCTGGGGCACTGGGAGCAGGTGAGACTCACACGTCAAAGCAGTGTGCAGCAGACAGCAGCCACCTCTCCGCCACCAGCACGGCCCCGCAGCGGTGCTCCCGGCGCCGCAGCCACAGGCTCACCTGCCACGGCCACTCCCCGAGGCCGGCGGCGCTGCCGCCCACGATCCTGGTCAGCGCTGCCACAGGCGCCAGGCCGCAGTCTGCAGGAGAGCGGACAGAGGGCATTGGGCGGAGGCAGTGCCTCTCACACTGCCCCTTAGGGGACCCGCCTCGAAAAAACACACTAACACTGGACTTGGTGCTTGGTCCTACAAACACGCCTCTTCTAGGCTCTTCCCAAGTAATATTTGAAATGCATTGAAGTCTGCTTCCTACAACCTCAGCGTTGGGGCCGTGCGTCCTCCCCAGATGGGGACCAGGACAGTGTCCTCTCCCACCACCGGGAGCTGGGTTCTGCTGGCTCAGACCTTCCCACACCCCTTCGCTCTGCCAGGAGGCCCCCGCTGGCCCACCAGCTCCTGTGCTAGTTTGTCTTCCCAGACACCCTTGTGCTGTGACGCCCGTCACCCCCAGCACAAGGTGCACCCTCAGAACACAGCTGTAGGAAGCACCAGGGTGTGCAAGAGGGTGCTGCAGGGACCCTAGCACCCGTCAGGGGCTCACCTACCCACCTGATTCCCACAGGGCCGCTCCGGAGCCTGCCCCTTCCCAGCCACTCCCACCACCCAGCTGCCTCCGCTCCCTCCAGATTGAGGAAGGGCTCCTGCTCTGGCCTCAGCTGGAAGAAGAGATGGGGAGACAAGAGGCCACCTGCCCCGTCCCTGCTAGCCCCACCGCTGCTACCCTCCTGACACCATCTGGACCTTGCCCAGGGCCAAAGCTGTGCTCCCTTTCCTGGACGCCTGCCCGTAGCTAGGGGAAACGTGAAAATCAGGCTAAAGGCCAGAGCCACATGAAGCTAGCTGGGGAGTGAAACTTTCTCCCAAGAACAGTTACAGCTGCACCGACTCACACACCTGCATTCTGACTGCCCCTGCTGGAAACCCTGTGCCCCGAACCAGGCGGCAGAGAAGGCTGTGAAGGGAAGGCCCCCTTGGGTCTGGAGCGTCTAAATCCCGAAACTTCGTCTCGATTCCCGGTCCAGGTACAGGGCTCAGATAAGGGGGTTCCAGACTCAACGTGTCACCTCTGCCTTAACTGATTCCCAAGGAGACAGGACCCAGACCCTCCCCGCCCTCCGAACGCACATCCAGGCCCTTGGCACATGGTCTGCTTTGGTCTGAGCCCATGAAAGCTCTGCTTCATCTCAAGGTCACCGACACAGCACTCGCCCCAGAGCCTGGCTTCCTGACGGCCAGACTTGCTTTGTTTGGCCACCCGTCCCGGGCGCCTCTGGTGTGCGCTGCCTTGTGGCGGAGCCCGTGAATCTGGCTTGGTGGGTTCAGGCCAGTGTGGGGTGACAGGCTGATGGAGCCAGGCCACTGTATGACCATGTGCAGGGAGAACAGGTAAGAACCCTCACGACATGTCATGAGGATATGATGGAGCAGTGGGATTATGGGTAGTTTTCCCCAACCGTCTCTGTCATGGGGTTAAGTTATGCACACACACCCCTGCCCAGACCCATCTGAAGGACAGTGGACCTACGGCAGCCCAGGGAGGGGACTGGTGACGGAGGAGGGAGGCAGAGAAACCTCCCTGGGCCAGTCTCTGCAGGGGTCACGGTGAAGGTGCCGGGGGCCTTGGACAGTGGGAAGTTCTGGGAAAGTTAGCGGTGAGGAGGAAGGTGGGTGCAGCCTGCATGGACCAGGCGCCTGTGTGCTGAGCATCTCCCCCTTTGGGAGCTCACCAGAGCAGCCTGCTCCCTGCCTCCCACCTGAATGAAAGCAGCCCAGACATGGCCCCAGAATCTGGATACGAGAGCATGGAGTTCCCGTCTGCCTGGGGAGTGGGCGGGCTCGCTAACATGGTGCACCTGGCAGGTCCCACGCCATGCAGACGTCAGTGTTTCCTCTGTGGCCCCCACACACCACCGACGGCATCTGCTGGCTCAGCCTTAGCCGGAGCCGTAGGAGACTGCCGTCGCTGATGGGGCTTTATCTTTGACTGACGAATGCAGCAGTTTTATACGCTGGTAGTTCTGGTTAATAGTAAAAATGAACTCAGCATTTTAGACACGATGGAACGATCTCAGGGCTACGTTCTCTCTCGGCGTCTCTCCTGGCCAGTGAGGTACCCTCTCAGCCATAACGGGAGCGGGGAGGCCAGC